ACATCTATATGCACCCCCTTGCCCAGATTGCCCAGAGATATGGGCTAGGGTGCCATCAATATGCGGATGACACCCAGCTCTATCTGCTGTTGGGCAGTCAGTCTGGCTCTACCCCGGAAGATCTGGACCGAGCATTGTGGGATGTAGCGGGCTGGCTTAGGCTGAGTCGACTGAAACTGAATCCTACAAAGACGGAGGTTCTATGCCAGAATCGGAGTGGTACAGGGGTGGGGGTCCCTCTTCCGGCCTTCGGCGGGACGCCATTGGTGCCAGCTCCGAGGGTCAGGAGTTTGGGAGTGCTCCTGGATGCTTCCTTGACAATGGAGGCCCAGGTAGCAGCCACTGCCAAGGCAGCCTTTTATCACCAGCAGCTGATTAGGCAGTTGGTCCCCTTCCTCGAACGCAACGATCTGGCATCAGTGATCCATGCTATGGTCACCTCGAGGCTGGATTACTGCAATGCTCTCTACGTGGGGCTGCCCTTGGGGCAACTCCGGAAGCTGCAGGTTGTTGATGGGCCTTCCCATGAGGGAACACATCCAACCTGTGCTGAGGTCGCTGCGCTGGCTGCCAATAGCATTCCGGATATGCTTCAAGGTGCTGGTTTTGACCTTTAAAGCCCTGAATGGTCTGGGGCCTGTATACCCGAGGGACCGCCTTTCCCCATATGTTCCCCCGAGGGCACTGAGATCCGAGTCGCAAAATCGCTTGGTCCCCCCAGGCCCTAAGGACGCTAAACTAACAGCAACAAGAACTAGGGCGTTTTCCCTATCTGCACTGACGCTATGTAACCAGCTCCCAATCGAAATCCGAGCTCTGCGGGATCTTCAACAATTCCGTAGAGCGGTAAAGACCGAGCTGTTCCGACAAGCGTTTTAATAGTTCTGGCCACACTGACCGCTCCACATAAGCACTAGCACTTTATAACAGATGGCCGTCACATTCTAATTTTAATAAGTTGTTTTATGATATCGTACTGTATTGTTTTAGATGTGATTATTGTATTAACTGTATACTGGTTTTTAACTATTGTAAGCTGCCCTGAGCCACCTTGGCGGGAGGGCGGGGTAAAAGTCCAATAAATAAATAAATAAATGTACAGCCTTTTACCTGTAGAAAAGAGCAAGAGTCCAGTAGCACCTTAAAGACTAGCAAAATACATGGCAGGGGATGAGCTTTCGTGAGTCACTGCTCACGGAAACTCATACCCTGCCACGTATTTTGTTAGTCTTTAAAGTGCTACTGGACTCTTGCTCTTTTGTACTGCTACAGACGGACTAACACAGCTACCCATCTTGAGCCTTAGACCTGAAAGGAAGAAGCTGGCTTTGTGATTAACAGAAGAACCATCCACTCAGTGGTGTGCAAATCTGGCTTCTGCCAAAAGCCAGAAGAACAGGCTCCTGCTGTGCCCAGTTTGAGCAGAAAGGTTGCACATGTGTCTGTTTGGTAGTGAGTGTACCTCTGTTATAAGAGGCACACCACTGAAACTATGTACAACTATTGTTACCCTAAGAATCCTGCTTCCATGGGAGATAGTTACATTACTGTGTTTTGATAGGCAGAATGAGCATTTCCATTCTGCCTTTGCTCAGTAAGGGAGTACATGTCCTGACCATTTTTTTTTTAAATGGCACTGGGTGGGGAGGAATGGTCACTGTCACTATTGGTGTAAGGCATTATAAGACATGATAAAAACATTTGAATCAAGCAAAGATTCCTAGTAAGACAAAGTAATGCAGTTTGGCTGGGATTGTAGAACAGGGGGGAAATAAACAACAGTGTTGCATGCAAACATATCTGTTTAAGGCAACAAGACCATCAGTGTAGTAGAAAAAAGCTTTACCCATAATTAAAGTAATCTCCTGTGCTGCTCCATTACCACTGCAATTTTACTACCTCTACAGGAATCCCCTCCTGAACAATTTTGTTTTGTACATTTTCCAGAACGATAAAAGTATTGGGGCTTGCCTAATAGCCTCAGGCAGACTGTTCCACAAGGTGGGAGAGCCACCAAAGAGAATGGGTGTGAATGATCAGTTGCCGATGTTACATTTTTGCAGGGTAGCACCTTCAGATGGCTTTGCTCAGATGAGCTGAGCTGCCACAGGGGAACACAGGAGGAGAGGCGGTCCTGCAGGGATGTGGGTCCAGTGTGTGCTTTGTAGATGATAGCTAGAACCTTGAATCAGAGGTCATTTCGGGGGGGACGCGGGGGATCGCAGTTCCCGTGGGTGAGGTGCAGGGGGCGGGGCACATGACGAAGCCCCGCCCCCTGCTTCCGGCCGCCCCGCTTCCGGCCCTCATTCAGCCAGGAGGAGGCAGGAGAAGAGGGAGGGTAAGTTGCTTCCTCCCCGCCTCTCCCCACCCCTGCCTGCCTGGGGCCAGGGAGGGCCTTGGCGGGGCTTCCTCTCACTCCCGCCAGCCTTACAGGTCCACCGCCGGGCCCCTAATGTCAGAGGGTGTGGCATATGCTAATGAGTTATGCTAATGAGTTCCCCTAGCTCTTTTTCTACGAATTGACCCCTGCCTTGAATTGAACCCAGTAAACTGATTGATAACCAATGGAGTGTCTGTAGAAAGGGAGTGAAAGCAGCTGGAGGGGGAGTTCAGTTGCATAAAGAGTATTTAGGCAAGGGATACTTTTCTTATCTTGCTGCCCATCTCTCTAGATGCTTTTCTTCATCTGGGCTCCAATACCAGAGGTGAGCTTGGAGGGGAGAAAAGTGCCTAGAAAGATGGACTGTGGAGGTGAACTGCAGGTGGCAGGTGAGCGGGCAGGTTCTACATCTCGTTACCTGGACATCCCTTTTGTACTTTAAATTGCACTTCCCCATCCATATCTTCTCCCAGTGAGGTGGGAGCTTCAAGATTCAAAACCTCATCTCTCCATACTAGTCCTCCATTTCAGATTGCAGCCTTGTTCTCTCCTTAGGTGCTTCCTGTTATTCCTCAGCAGATGAGGCGTCTGCGTCTCAAAGACATAACGGGACCCAGTCTGATGCCAGAACTGACCCATCAGATGATGATGCAGACAAAGTTCCCAAGCGGACCCAGAGCCTTAAAGTTCCTAAAAAAGTGACAAAAGTCGAGGTGAGCTCGGATTGTTTACACAGGCTGCAGCTGGATCTTGTGGCTAGCTATGCCTTAAAATACCTTTGTTCCTCGGCCCAGCATACCATCTTTTCTAATAGTCCTTCCCCTCCCTTGTAGCATGCCTATGTCTTTTTTGTCTTTTGTTGCACTCAAAGTATTGTTTCAAGAACCACATCCACTCTTTCAATAATTTACCTACCTGCGTTGTCATCATCGTTAGTGGAATTGTTCTTTTGCCTAAGAACTGGGAGCTGAACTAGATATGGTGGTGGCAGCCATGTTTGTTGTTCATGTGACTGTTCCATTCACATATAAAATAATTTTAGCCTTGAAACAGGTGCACATATAAAGGGGGGCATAGCCTGCACTGCATCCTGCTACTCTTTAGGATCCTCTGCCTAGTTTTCCAGTGCAAAACCTCCTGACTCAGTAGAAAGTCAAAAGGTTTCACACAATTGTCACTGACAAGTTTTGTGGCAGATCTCTCACTGACTGCTTTCCTATCCTCCTTTTGCTACCTGAGCCTTTTTCTCCCTGTCTCCATATTAATTTGTGTCATTTTCCAAGGCATCTTGCTGATTTAATTTAATATTAGAAATTAAAAATCTAGCTAATTCATGATTCCAAACCTAGATGCTTCATAATTTTATACTAGAGTTCCCCTTCACCAGTGCACATTTGCTGAAAATATAAAATTTTCACATGTTCAACATTTCTTTTAAAAAAGTTCTAAGAGGAAGAAGTACATGTGTGCAGATAGAAACGTAACTATTCTGGAAAATCTTTTTGCCCTGGAGAATCATGGGTGTTTTTTTTTCTGGAACAAAGTCAGAATTTGAAATATATGCAATAATGTTGAAATATATGCAATAATGTATTAACAAATCTAAGCATACTTAACTTATTTTAGAAGATGAAATCTATAAGATAGTAGTTTTCAGTTATATATAGCCCTTAAAACTGTACTATCTTATGTTCTAATAGCCACACATGGCCCCCATCTGAGGGTAGCTAAATCCACAAATTGAAGCCACATGGAGGCTAAACAGATCTTTGTGCACACTTGGAAGACACCAGAAATGCAGAAAAATCTGAAATTCTAAAAAAACATATGCACAGGGTTTAAATTTCCACCTTTGGTGGTGTGGCAACCCGGGAGCCGCACTGGGCCTAGCAGCACAGCAGCCCAGGAGCTGCAGCAGCCTGGGTGGGAAGACTGTGCTCACTCTCTGTGGCTCATCCGAAGCTGGGTGAGCCACAGAGAATGGTGAGTGGGGGGGGGGAGTCTCTGCTAGCTTCCTTGCCAGTAGAGACTCCCCACCCCCCACTGCTCTCTGTGGCTCCCCCAGAGCTGCTCTGGGTGATCCACAGAGAGTAGGGGGGGGACTGTACTCCAGGCAAGCCACAGAGAGCTGTGGCAAGGGGACAAGTCTGCTGGCTCAGAGCTGCTCCAGGCAAGCCAGCCGAGATTCCCCCCACTGCCACTCTCTGCAGCATGCCCCCTCCAGTGAGCCACAGAAAGCCCGGGGATCCATGCTGGGTTCGGAGAGAGAGTGTGGGGAGGGAGATGGGATTCCTCCCACACACGTCTCATAGGCCCCCACTTAAAAGTTTGAAAGTATAAACGCTTTGATAACAGTTGCAGTTATTCTTTGAATAAACCAAGTAGTAGATCCCTCTAATGGCTACACCCTGTGATACCTTAGCATATTTTAGCTTCTGCCAAATGGGGAAATAGGAGAAAAAGTGAAACTTAAAATCATCCACAGTGCAATAAACAAACACAGGTTTTATCATTAGGTTTATGCCTGTAATCTATGCTATATGAAAGTACTTTTGCAACATCTAGCTATGTTGCTTAGTTTGTAATCCAGTTGGCGATGCTATGATGGCTGACACTCTAGGTTGCTTGGCTGTAACAATATCATTTTGAAACACTGCTTTAAAATGGTTCTGTTCATTCTGAAAATGAAAAAATTGCATGAGTTTTTTCCAGTTTCCCCTTAACTTTCAAAAAAAATTACTGGAAAAAATTGGGGGAAATCCCTGCCCGGGGGGGGGGGGGGGATAATTTCTCAATTTTTTCCTTAGGCCTTCTTATCTCTATATACAAGAAATAAGCACAGAGTCACATTTAGTCAGCAAGAGTCAAAAGGTGAAATGAAATAGTTCTGGTGCACGCACATGGATATTAGGCAAACAATTCAGGTGTTTACTTGATTCTGCTTAATGGGCATGTTCTTGGGCTGGATACACTTTCATCATACCTGAGCTGCTTTCACAGAGAAGATTCCCCCCATTTCAGCCACCCGGCTAGTGCGAGATGTGTCCGGAATGGAAGGTATGCCTTCAGTTTCAATGAAAAGGAGCACCACCACCCTTCCTCTGCCTATCCATTAGATTTTTAATTTTTAAAAGATGTCTTTGATGTCATAATGTCATTGTGCTGTTACTCAACCATGACATGCTGTTACTCAACCCACAGCCTCCTGCCCAGCACTGAAATGAAGCAAACGTGGGAAAGGAAAACTGGTTAATGGGGGTGGGGTTCATGCTATAATAAGCAGGCAATGACAAGGGATGGAAGGCTTCAAATTTTGCATTATCCCTGAGCAGCAAACTACATGGACGTTTTTTTTACAAATGTGTTTGTTATTGAGCACTTCCTCTTAAGCACTATGCATGCACCCAGAATTTTTAAACTAGGGGAAAAGAGGGTAAGTGGTGATTCATGATAGTGGAGAGACAAAAATGGAGGAAGGGGGTGATGTAAAGGTAATATTGGCCTGGGATGAGAGGGAAAACACAGCTAATACCGGATTACTTTGTACTATGTGGGATATCCATTGAAAGTGCAAATTGAGAAAATATCACACTAGCAACATGATGAGGATATGACAACTTCCTAGTCTGGAAGCACCCCTAGTCAGTGTCTATATCTGGTGGTTTAGCTGCCTCAGTATCCTGCCTACAAGTGCAGGCTATAAGTAAGTGGCTTCCTTCACTGATTGTGAGGGTGTTTCTAGGGAGATGGTACAATTTTTCTTCTTCGGGCATATTCTGTACAATTGGACATGCCTTTAGAGTAGATCAGACTACACATTTTCTTTTAGTGTGATGGTCATAAAGTATTATCAAGAATTTCAAGATTTCTAGGTTTTGTTTCTGGAAAATAAATTGACGAGAGGGATGGTTATGAGGCAAAAATGGATGTAGGGTGGGAAATGGGTTCTGGCTTTGAGTGCCTTCAACTGATTGCTTTATAGGTGATTTTTTCCCCCTTTTATAGAAATTATCTTTGGTTACTGCTGGTGTCTGGTAAACTTGGTCAGTCTGAGGTGGCTGAGTTGATACAATCTTGTCAGTGATCAGATTAAGAAGGTTAAAAATAAGGTAGCAATCAATTAACATTTTAAAGTGGTGGTCCCATTGTTCTGGAAGTAGTAGCTCAGTAAATTATTTATTTATAAAGTTAGATTTTTAAACTGCACCACCCTGTGAAACAGGGCTCGGGGCGTTGTACATCAGTATAAAATAATACATAAAATCATATTATTAAAAAATGAAATATTTTATACAACAACAATAATCAGATGGCAACGGAACTGCCAGAGTATGCCGCTGCCTCATGGGGAGGGGAGGCAGAAGAAACAGGAGTGCCCGCCAGATGGAAAGCTGTTGCTGTCCTCACCCAAAGGCCTAGCAGAACATCTCTGCCTTGCATGACCTGTGGAACTGCATTAAGTCCTGCAGGGCACAGATGTTGTTCGGCAGAGAGTTCCACCAGGTTGGGGCAAGGGCCGAGAATTCCCTGGCCCTGGTTGAGGACAGCTGGATGTCTCTTAGGCTGGGGACCACCAGCAGGTTCTTATCAGCCAAGTGTAATGCTCTTCGAGGCGTATACCAGGAGAGGCGGTCCCAGAGATATGTGGGTCCCTGACTGTTAAGGGCCTTAAAGGTTAGTATTATAACCTTGAACCTGATCCAGTACTCCACAGGAGCCAGTGCAGCTAACGGAGCACAGGTTGAATATGGGCTGTGTGCAGAGACTCCATGAGGACTCACGCTGCAGCATTCTGGACCAGTTGGCATTTCTGAGTCAGTCTCAAGGATAGCCCTACATAGAGTGAATTACAGTAGTCCAGTCTGGAGGTGACTGTTGCATGTACTGTGGCTAGGTCAAGGCGAAACAGGTAGGGGGGCTAGTTGCCTGACCTGGCGCAACTGGAAGAATGGCAGTCTGGCAACATTTGTGATCTGGGCCTCCATTGATAAGGAGGCATCCAGAATTACACCCAGGCTCTTGACAGTTGGTGCCAGTGTCAAGGGCACACCATCAAGAGCTGGGAGATGGCACCCCAGCCCTGAGGCCCCCCCACCCTCCCAGCCACAGAACCTCTGTCTTAGCAGGATTCAGTCTCAGCCGGATTCACTGGGTCCAACCGGCCACCCATCAACAGATACAGCTGGGTGTCATTAGTGTACTGGTGACATCCCTGCCTGAAACTTCACACCAGATGACTTAAGCCATCTCAGAAAAGTGAATAAAGCCCTTTTAGTTTTTTAACCTTCGTCTTGTCCTGAAACGACCCTATTTGCCTGAAGGAAAAACTCACCCCCCCTTCCATTAAGAAAAAGAAGATTATAAAAAATTAATAAAAGTGTACCTATGGGTACTTGAAAAAAGAAAAAAGGGTCTGCTTGCATGTAAGTTGCAGTAATGTATAGTAATTTTAAAAGTTTGTGTATAATTTTTTTTAGGGAGTTCATCTTAAATTGATACTTGTCTTTCTTTAGTTAAGGGGGATTGATTTATATTTAGAGTTGTCTTTCCTTTGGATAAATACCTGTAGTTTTATGCTCCTCTCTCTCTTGCGTTGCAGCCCCCACAAAAGACTGTGAAAGCTCGTCCTAAGAAGAAAGCTACAGGCTCTACTACTGCTGGCGAGTCAGCCTAAGGACAACCTAGCCTGTCTGTCCCAGAGTTCTTCTGTCACTTTGAGGGGCACTCTCCAAGGAAAAGGAAGCGGAGATCATGTACATAACAGCTACTGCTTTGTAGAGCTCATTCAAAGTCGAGAGGGTGACTGAAATTTGGCACACAGATCAGAGGATGGCCATCCTCAGGAATTACTAACTCTTCATCTTTGTGATGGAGAAAATGCTAATCTGTCTGTACATAGCCTGTTGCTTTGGGATTCCCTCTCTGTGTAACCCTAATACGGAAAGTCTTTGCTGGAGCAACTCTTTAATTAGGGTTAGAGCCATCTTAAGCAGAGAGGTGGGAAAAATTCAAGACTGGTGCCACTGAAATTCCAATTGGAAGAGGGGAGCTCCCCAGAATATTTCAGTATTTCACTGGATGTCCATGCTGTAGCTGCTGTGCGGAATTGTTAGGAAGTGCCTGAAGCAAAGTGACTGTTACTGAAAACTGAGTCATCCATACCTGTTTTGGCTAGAGAAGGACTGAAGTGGTGGCTTGCTTGGTGCTTTGCTACACGGGCAACGGGCTCACTTTGAATGGCTGTAGTGTAATGGGTCAGAGTTTCTTTCTTTCCCCTTTTTGGTGGGGAACTGCAGGTTTTGTGGGAGGGGGCTGAAGGTGAAAGTGCAAGTGGCTGCCTGCTTTACCAATCTCTGGTACCTATTTCCAAGCAGCCTCTTTTTTCGCTTGGGTGAAGGTGCTGCAGCTTTGCTTGTTTTAAGGGTTGGGAAGGTAGAATGGTTTGCATGTTCTTTACAAGTAGAATAATGGTAGGGAAGAAGGTGAAGGGGATCTGTGTGCATATATACCAGTGTTGCTCCCAAGTATTGGAATCCCGAACAGCTGCTGCCCAGAAACTGTACCGTTTGGCCATTCCTTCAGAGTTGCCTTTATGTTTTAGGTTTTACAGGTCAGTCCATTTTTTGTAAGAATTGTTGGTAAAAGCAGGTCTGTAGAAGAAGCTGGAGGATAGTTAGATGGCTGGTATTTATGTTTCTGCTGGGAACTTAAATGTGCTTTATTTGCACTGTGAGAATATAAGGCTGGAGCTTGAGCAGTGCGGCTTGGCGGGCAGGCAAAAACAGCAGACAGTTTAAGGAGCCTTTGTGAAGTGCTGTCTTGCAGTATGAGCAGCAGTGGGAACACTGAAAGATTTCATGGCTGCACAATGAATAACGATACTCAGCTCTCAGGAACCACTCATTTCTACCACTATCACTCCCTGCTAACTCTAGTTAGTTGGAAGCAATATTATGTAGTATCTGAAGTCACCTACAGTGTTGTGAAAATCAGAGCTTGTTGATTTTTGTGTAGAACTTCTAGTAAATGGGTGAAGAAATCTTCAACAACTTTTCTGTTCCAGTCACCCTAACATACGACTATCCTACTGCAGGGATACTGAGGAAACAGTATATAATTCCGATACATTCTCCATCTTCTGAACATGTGCCAAAGCCACCAGCCTTTTAATGGGAACAAAAGTATGAAATGTGGGAACCAAGTTTCAGTAACCCTCGCTTAAACGCAATACAGGTTTATTCACAGGATCCTGGAAATGGGTGGCATTGTGAGCTGCGTTGCAATGCACAATGAAATAGCCATGCAGTTGCTTCATGCTGGTTACAATCCTGGTTTTTTTTCAGCACAGGCTGATATTCACTAGTTCTTAAAGATGTTTATTCAAAAGTTGTTCCACTGAACTTAGGACCACACCTTTATGCTTATGCTTGCTTCAGTAGTAACAGTGAAGAGAAGACCCACCATTAAGATTACACAGGCATTTTTCTTATTTACCAGTCAGTTACATGTTCATACTTCTATGCTGTATTTTGATCTTGGACACCTGGCAGTTCAGCTTTTGCAAGAAACAAGAGAACAATTCACATTTTTGCCATTTCCTTTTGGCAGCAGCTGTTTAATGCCAAAGACTTGGCAAACGATGAAATAAATTTTGTAATTTGTCAAGGATGCCAACCCTAAATCTCAGATTAGCCTTTTAGTAGTTGGAACATTGACTTTGGTTTGCTGAGTGTGAGAACGTAGAAACATATTGTGCTTTTTACACAGTTGATCACTCTCCTATTACTGTACTATTAGTCTTGAGTGGTTCTCGTTGAATGTCGAGCTTACATATAAAACAATTCCTCTTTCTTATGTATTGCATATGACTGGGGGAAATGTATTTGGATGATGTCATGACTGTAAATGAGGCCTTTATAGTTCTACAGTATTAGAGGGGGAAGGGCATTACTGAGGAAGTAGCACTACTTTATCTATTGCTATTTGTGCTTGACAGCACATTGCGTTTTTTTTTATTTGTACGTATTGTCTTGCATTTTTCACGAGCACATCTTATACTGCTCAGAGGATCCCCTGTGACTCTTCATATGAGGTAAATGATTTTGCATAGAAGCTGATGGCCTGAGATCCGGCTTACTAACTTTATCCTACTTGAGCAGACTGTTTTGCTGTAGGAATGTTGCAGGTAACACCCCACCCCCCCAAATCAAACCTTTCATAAATAATTTTGATTCTTTAAGAGGGTTGCTATGTTAGAACTGTGCTACATTTAACATAGTGGCATATGCCTGACAGCACAACCAAAACTCAAAAAACCTTTTTTTTTTGTTTTTCTGGGACTACAAAAACAGGAACTGTCAGGCACCTGAAAAGCCACAGTATATGGCTGCAGGGCTGCATCTTGCTCAGTTAAGTTACATTGCACACATCTGTCAGTCTTATTGAACTTGACAAACCTAGTAAACTACCTTCTCAGATTATCGTTATATAGTACTTTCCAAGCTCTCGGCCCACTTTCTTTGGTGTTCTGTGACTTTTGGGAGTAGCTATACTGATTTTATTTTAGTGTGAGTGCCATGCTGCTGCTTCTTTTTCAGACCCCCCCCTTTTTAAATGAAATACTGTCTATTGACTTTCACTTTGCATGTGTCCCCCCCCTTTCAGGATTAGTCTAGCATAGTCCCGTAGAGTATAATAGGATTATCACTACTGAAGCTCCCAGTGTCTGAAGTTAGCTCACTCTGGAGGGATTCTCAGACCTGTTTAAAAATCCATTAAGGGGGTGATGTATCTTGTTGAATGGAGACTTCTCCCCACTGACTGCTACTAAGCTTAAATTTTTTTATCACAGTTTGTCATCTAGTGATGAAAACTCTGTAAACAAAACTATCTTGAGAATGATTTGGATCTTTTTTTAAAGCCAGTTATCAGCCCCATGTGGCAACTTTGAAAGAAAGAGAAAAGTTTCTGGAGAGCAGGGCCAGCTCAAGCTTGTGAGCTGCCTTAAGCATCCTCCATCCCTACCATTCCCCCACCAACAGGATTCGGGGTGGGCTGCAGAGGAAGCAAAGCCTTAGGTATGCCTTGGAATGGACCCTAGGCAGCAAATGCCAGAGAAGGCACATGCACCCTCTTGTGTTGCTGTATACTTTCTGTGTAGCCCACCTTGGATGGATCTGACAGGAGAGGAGGAGTTCTCCTCCTTTCAGTTCACTGCCACCCCAGCAGAGGGCAAGGACTGGTATCCAAGGTGGGGTGCAGAGGAAGGTCTTTTGCAGCCTACCTTGGACCTCAGGCAACAGTGGCATAGGAGGCGGGTGCAAGCGTCACCTGCCACCGCCTTGCCAGTTTGGGCACCTCAAATGGCTCCTTGGCTCATTTGGGTAATGATCCAGTCTGCTGGGGATAAGGTGTTTTACCTTTTCTTCCCATGCCTCTTCAGCAGTTTAAATCCTCCCCTGAAGCAGCAATTTGGCTTGCATCTGGGTTGGCCCCTAGCCAGGTGATGCTGCTGTTCCCAATCCCACTGGCCGCTGTGTGAGGTCTCTGGCAAAAACACTAGCTGGCCTCTGTTCAAGTCGGTTATGTAGAGCTGGTTGTGTTGCAAACAATACAGGGGAAGAGGAGCCTAAGCTAGCTCCCAGTGCAATCAGTGCTGCTCCATGTGGACATATACCTCTGCTGGATGTAGCTGTTGCAGCTAGGCTTGCCAAGCCCCTGCTGGGGGCGGGTAAATTCCCTCCTGGGAGGCCCATTACCCGCCGGCGGCGGATCGGGCCCCGGGGGGAACTCCACCCCCTGCTGGAGGGCGTCCCCAGCGTGATGATGTCACCCGGAGGTGACATCATCATGCTGGCCATGTTGTGAGCGGGACACTCTGTGAATCGAGGGAAAACTCTATGGTTTTCCCTCGAGTCATGGTGCCCCACCCCCAACGTGGGCGACACGATGACGTCACTTCCAGTGATGTCGTGGCGCATGCGCGCAAAGCGTGTGCATGGGGAGACTCCCGACGGAGCCCGGAATCCCCCCGCTTTCCAGGTAAGTCGACTTGGCAACCCTGGTTGCAGCACATGTAAAACTGTGTCCATGATGCATTCTGATGCATGGAATGCTTTTGGAAAGGGGGTTAAAATTATCTTTAGGTATGTGAAAGGATGAACACTTATCCATACATTCATATATGTAGCCCTTTAAAGAGAGAAAAAATGTGAATGTGTATGGCTACCTCCTCCTCTAAGCAATATTCCAGCATTCAAGAATATTTTCTTCCTTCCTTTACCTCTTTTTACCTTCCTTTTACCTCCTCAGCAGGGCTCTTCCCCCCCTCCCCAGCTATGTTTTGCACAGTTATAAAACTACAAGTGTTGGGTTGGGGTAGTTCCACAGCATTGAAGAGGACAGTGGTCCCCTTGCTCCAGATAAATTACTGTACTTAGCAGGTCTCTGCACTGGTAGGAAAGGAAATAATGTCTTGACTTCTGAACAAGGCAGAGCACAGAACTGTAACTTGGAGGAGGCTCTGTCACAGGATTTTGTATGACTAAACTGAGAAAAAGAGAGGGGATTTCCAAGGAGATGGGATAACAACCAGTTATTCTTGGGATTTGTTTAAACTTGGAGGATGAGTCAGCTACATGAACTAACAGAAACAGATAAATTTATCACTTGACAGCCTAAGTGAAGACATTTTCTACCCTTGTTGAAAGACCAACACGGCTACCATCCTGAATCTTGCAGCTGAATAGGCAGTGAGAAAGTTTTTCCTGCCACTTTCCTAAGTATTATATTTCTACACAAACCATGCTG